CAGGCAGCCGGTCAGAACTGTATGAGCTGACGCTTAGTTGAACAGACACACTACGCAGGTTCAAGCTTCACTTTGTTTACTGAAGAGCTGGTAGATTTACATATGGGTAGGTATGTATGTGTGGGTCTATAACAAATCAAACAAAGAAATAAACATTAATATACATAAACATTATACATAACGTAAACAGTATTAACAGCATTCAGGCTATATACAATCCCATTAAGGAAGTCCTATTAGACAGAATAATTATTCTATACATCGCCACAAGAAGGCGCTAATAGCACGTAAATGCGTTAACTAATGCTGCGTTCCAGGCAGGTTTTTGAGCACGTAAATCACGACTTCAAACCACGACTCACGACTTTGTAGCGTTCCAGGCCAGTCACGCCAAACTACCTGAGCGCAATATACATACTTATTTTTTCAGACACATAACATTGTAATACATTATCGTGTGTTTATTATTATATTATTATTAATTTGACTGCAACGTTATATTGTCCTAAAGTGTATTCTCACTGTGTACCGCCTGCAGAAACACTGCATCCGTAGGGGCTGCCATTGTTGTTTTGTATGGTTTTGCGGGCTATGTGACGTCAGAACTCGTAACTGGGAGTACATCGATCTAGTACGAGTTCACGGGTGGGAAGTCACGGGTTTGACTGCCGTTCCAGTGCACTTTCACAGGTATAAGGTTGGAAAAACACGGGTTACAGGTTGCCTGGAACGCGGCATAAGCATGCCATATGCTCAGGATAAGACACTGATCACCGCGTGATAATAATCAGCTCCAAAGTAGCCGTACAACCAATAATAACATAATGTCTAATACATAAACATACAGAAACTCCGAAAAAATACTGAATAGGAAGTAATACAGGCCGATCTATGCTAATCGGCTACCGCTCACGCTGATGAACATAGACTGAACAGTTTCTGAATACCAACTGAACAAACATGTAAATATGAACTTACTTGGCATATACGCACACAGCGACTCAGTGTATATGTATACCAGCTGAATAATCGTCGAACACCACAGATTAACTATACTGAAACTATCGAGCATTTCCACTAACATTTGTGATGCATCTTCTCTCTCCCTCACAGTTCAACTCAGCACGAATGTCACTATAGCAACCTTGTGCGCTGTGATTGGTCGAAATCTTCCAGGACATTTAAGGGCATCCGGGCCTTTTGTACAATCAACATAATATGCACTGCACATACTTATTTTGTGTAATAAAATCTAACTATAACATGAGATGCATTGTGTAGCCTATTTGCTGTTGCAGATATACATGATTTGAATGACTGTATGAGGTCATTCTGGCATAAAACCCTCCAAAATCATAAAGATAAAAAAATCCACACACACACACAAAGCCCTCAAAGTGCTCTCTGAACCTGAGCCTGTTAAGGCAAATGTCCAAAAATTTGAATTTTGAATGGGAAACAAATTAACAAACATCTGTAGAGTATGAATGAAGAATCATGAATTCATTAATTCTGAACGCCATGCACGCATTCTTGCGAACGGTTTCTAAAGCCCACAACCGGTGACTCATCCAATCTAAATCATCAGCTAGCGCCAGCAAGTCTGAAGTTTAAATTGATTACTGACACCTTTACAGCGTAAAGATTCTCTCCAGGGATCCTCGTGCCACCCCGATCTATTCGTGAGGCAACATCAAAGAAGACCGTTGTCTCCAAACCCCTCCCCGGCGAGAGAGGAATGCCAGATGCTCAAATGAAGATACCCACACACACACGCACATAAACATTCCTACCATTAAGAAACCCAGAAATGAGTGATTCTGAAATTTAAAGGGTAACTAAACACTAAAACAACTTTTTTTAGTTAATGATCTGTAAGAATGGAGCTTCATAAATGCTGTTCATTGATTCGAGTAACTTTTTTACATGATGATGATGATGATGATATTGCCTTTATTTGTCTCACAAGTGAAAAATTTCCAGGAAAAATACAGCATAACATGAGGAGAGGTGAGGAGAAAAAAAGGCAACCCCCAGACTATGCTCCTCTAGGAGTACAGTGTGGGGACAGGAAAAAAAACATTAGCACACAATCAGTACACTTTACATGAACAAGACTTGCAACAGGGGTGACGGGTTAGGGGTGGGAGGTGGGGGATGGAGGTAGCCCAGCCCAGGCAAGCACCCATCCGGTCCTGCAGCCATTTCAGGCGCTGGTCACAGACCCGCCTGTCGGACTGGGGGTACAAAGCGACGAAGGTGAGGGATGGGGTATGGGACGAGTGATTGCATATCTGTATATATGTGTAAGAGTTCATGTATGTGTTGGCCTGGAGAGTCGCTATGCCTGGCATCATAATCCAGGTGCCTCAGTCCGCAGGATTGTCATAGCGATACACAGCGAGTTGCCATGGAGACAACCTTGATCAGGTCCCAAACAGAGTCAACAATCACCAGGTGTCTGGGGAGTCGGGGAAGGAAGCAAGAGCGGCTCACTGCAGTGCTCTTCCGGGGGAGTTGTTATTGCAACAGCCAAGGCCAGTGCTGGTTGAGGGCGGCCGAAACAGATAAGATTGGGATTGTTTGGTCTTGGGGGGAGTAGCCGCATTCCAATTTACACGGCTATTCTCATGGTCCATTTTGGTCTCCTAAACGATCCATTTGCCTTTGCAAAGCTGTGAGCTTCTCCATGATGTTATCCATATTCTGGTTCATAGACACAGTCTCAGTGCTGACAGCTCTGCCCACCGCTTCAATCATGACGGGCAGCCTATTGAGGCTTTGGACACCTGTCACCGTCTCCTTAATTCCTCGATAAACCAGGGCAATGCCTGATCCAATCAGCAGAAGACCTGTTATCATGGTTCCGAATAGGTAGATAACTTCAACGTCCTCCACGGAAAGAGCCGCCAGACACACGACCCGCCACCTCTCCCACGCGTCCATCGTGTAGCCAGTTGACGCTACTCTGTCACGCCCTTGGTGCGAGCTCACCACGCCCTTGGCAGAATCCTGGTATAACTCTGGTTCCGTCAAAACTACTGTAGGGAGTCAGGAGTTGGAATTACGAGTATTGAAAACGATCAGGGGTGCGTTTCCCGAAAGCATCGTTAGCCAAACTATGGTCGCAAGTTCCGTCGTTACCAATAGAGTTCAATGGGATTTGCGACCAACTTGCGACCATAGTTGGCTAACGATGCTTTCGGGAAACGCACCCCAGGATAGTGTATATTAGCATCTAGTTAGCATAGCATTTATATAGTTATTTAGATTAGTTTGTGTAGCCTAGGTAGTTAATTAGCATAGTTATTAGTGTTGTTAGTATTGTTAGAAGCATAGTTAGTTGTTAGCATAGTATTGCATCAGTTAGAATAGCGTCGATTTTTAGCATTAGCTTTAACTTATCTGTATTTAGTAGTGGTTAGGATGGTACGTAGGTGTAGTGTTGCTGGTTGCAACAGCACTGCTGGACTGCATAACTTTCCACTAGACTTGGAAATTAGGCGCCAGTGGTTGCATGCACTTGGCCTTGAAGACCGTGAGTTCCCGCCTATCATAGAGTGTGCGACCTGCATTTTACGCGGGATTGCTTCTCCAACGCAATGGAGGTGGAAATGGGCTTCTCCACACAGCTCGCGCTGAGAAGCGACGCAGTGCCAAACGCTGCTCTTCCTGCAAGGACTCCACTACCGCAGCGGCGTCATGATGTGAGTCAGCATATATTTTTAATCACAATTTATGTTCCTTCTTATTAGGCTAAAGTTAACCCTCTGGTGTCGACAAACACGCCGGCGCGATTTGCTGGATATTTTTTTACACATAGCAGCAAAATATACTGAACGTAATAGTAATAATAATCCTCGTAAAAAATACCTCAAAATGACTGATTCTAATAATAATTGTAACACAAATTTTTTTTTTTTTTTGCCTTCTATGACCAGAGAAATTGGGTGCCAGACTGAACCAGTCAGCTCCAGATCTGCAGGTGTGCAGGCTAACGTGAAGCCCATGAGCAGAAGCAAAGGTGATTTTGAATACTATGGAGCTTTTGTATGTCTCATTATAGTCAAGATTATATAATTTTGTTTTGTATTTTCACTGCTTACTGATAATAAATCTATTATTAATTTGTGCAGCCACCCAGGCCAGAATGCCTAACAGGAGTTTGTCGTGTGACACAGGCACACTGATGGAGCCTTTCACAGAGTGTCCCGGGGCAACCTCTACACCAATAAAGAGGAAAAGATGTGAGGTGTCCTCTGATGACTCCAGCTACCATAAAGATGGAAGTGAGAGCACCATGAACTGTACAAGGTAATGCGTTTAGTCCCGTTAGGTTTTTCAGTTAGGCTATATTTGAAAATTCTAATTTAGCTATTACTTGTTTTTAAATACTTTTGATTGATAGTCATTAAGTTATTTCTGATACATACACATTACATAACCAAATTATGATTATTTATGCTTTTATTTGATTTTTTTTAACAAATTAACAAAATGTCTTTTTTTTTTCTTTTACATAGAGTATTTAATGAAGTATTACCCCACAAAGTGACAAAGTACATAGTTTATGAAGATAAACTGCTGGAGCTTTTTAGAAGATGCCCTGTCTGCACCCGGAGTTTGGTTGTTTCACAAACAACTTTTGGGACACTTCTCCGTGTCAAAGAGTACTGTGCTTACTGTGAGTACTCCAGTGATTGGTCGAGCCAGCCAATGGTAAACAATATACCAGCGGGAAACCTACAGCTCTGTGCAGCTGTTCTGTTCACTGGCTCATCGTTTTGCCAGATATCGAAGGTGAGAGGTAATAACATAGCGCTGTCATATTTGCACATCACCACTCAGGTTATTATATGAAGATGTTTTTTCTTTCTTTTAGTTCTTGGATGCCTTCAAAATCCAGGGGATCTCTGAGCCGTGCTTCCACAAGCATCAGGCCAAGGTTCTTATCCCAACCATATATATATATATTAGACTGCTGTCAGGCTTTGTTGACGTTGGCTTTGTGCAAATAACATAATTGTAGGACATTCAGCAAAATATGGCAGCTACACCATGATGGACCTCAAAGCCAATAGGGTCAAAGACATCCAACTAGTCCAGGTAAACAACTACACAATGAAAATATTTTGTTATGTGAATTACTATATACTGTGCATTGATCTAAGTATTTGTGTTTGCAGAGCAATGAAGTTGGAAACAGCCAAAGAAAGGAGAGGGAGGGATTTGAAAGAAGCTTGTCTCTTCTTGAGGAAAGAGGTGTTGTGGTCCAGTCTTTGGTGACTGATCGTCACACAGGGGTACAGAAGTTTATGAGCAAAAAAAGGACATTAGACACTTCTTCGACCCTTGGCATATGGGAAAAGGTTAGTGTTTTGAATAGAACGAAAACAGTACCAGTATTTCTAACAGAAATTTTTTCATTTAAAGTGGTAGACAATTATATGGGAAGATTGCACAAAGTGAACTTTTTAAGATGCCCCAAAAATGTTAATATATCACAAACTTATTTTTATCATATAGCCTATACTGAATGTTAGTCCACCACCTTGGTCTATAAAGTGCTGCGGGAAACACTGATTCAGGGCTGGGTAAAAAAATGGATGCCCTTAGTAAGGGTAAGGGACTGCAGGACGTGGGAATGTGGAGAAAGAGTGTGGTCAATCACCTTTATTGGTCTGCGACCACATCAACATCTGGGGAGGAGGTAGTGGCCAAGTGGAGCTCTGTAGCAAACCATATTCAGAACATCCACTGCCACGAAAACACCCTGTTTCCTTCTTGTCTCCACGAGCCTCTGGTTGGTGATCAGACAAGACACTGGCTCAAACCAAGTACAGATAAGCTGTAATGCTAATGTATTTTATTTTGTAGTTGCGTCACTCTAGATTTATATTGAACTATCTTCATTACATCAAGTCAAAGTTAATCCAAATTATAAAACCGTATTGAGAAATATATTGTGTTAATGTGCTTTCCGGCCACACTGTCATCAACTGTTGTATTAAGAACTTTAAATCTTTTGTTTAGGCACAGCAGCATGTGAAAAGGTCACAGCAATTTTGTTGTCACCACGTCTTCTTAAAGACATGCTCAAAATTAGTCCAGAATACCACACCTCTGGAATCGAGTGTTTCCACAGCCTCATTCTGAAGTTCTCATCCAATGTGGTGTTCTCCTTCAAAGGAAAGTTGTGGAGGTAAACAAGTTATACTACAGGGCTGTTGAATGCTTGATCCTGATTGGTTGAGAACGTTCTAAGGTGTGCAATTATTTTCAGGGAAACGCACGGCTAAAGTAGTTCCAGGCAGGTTTGACCGCATTACAGTTCCATATCACTGCGCGTAGTTAACTGTAATAACGGAAAATAGGATACAATTCATAAGAAGAAAAAACATGCAGCCCCATGCGCTTGATCTGCAATTTTCGATGTCTAACTTCATAATCAATGGACACATAGGCCTACAGTTTAATTTTAATAAATAAAGTATGTAGTCCTATCTATAGGCTAAATATAAAATTAAATTGAATAGGCTATATAAATAAATCGATAGTTCTGCTGGGTTTTCGTAATTATTCCAGATAATATAACAAATAAATAATTATTGATAGGCCTACTTGTTAAAAGGGCTTTGTGTGTTTCATTTATTGGGTTATATCTACTGTCAATTATAGAAAACAAGAATGAACGAATTAATTAAAACAAATTTAATTAATAAATAAATAAATAACAATATTGACGCACATGCTTTTCTGTCTCATTATTGCAACATATCTCTCTCTCTCTCTCTCTCTCTCTCTCTCTCTCTCTCTCTCTCTCTCTAATAACGGCATTAATAACTGCATAAAGCCGGGACACACTGACTAAGGCCAGTTATGAATTTAATGTGATACTTATGACTGATCTTGCCCAAACGCGTGTTCAGCGCGTTCAGTCTATAGCCTATTCACAGTCTGTGTTTAAGACCTGCTACAGTCGATGGAAACAGTCAGTCTTCGAATGTTTCAGCAAGTCGTAAGTGTGTCCCCATCATTAGTCTGCTATCAGTGGCTCAAACCTCCGTTACTAACTCTAAAATGACGTTTTGGAATTAGCAACTGAGGCATGGGATTAGATGCGTAAGAAATTAGTCCTACATACAAGAGCGTTTTAATGACAAAAACTTCACAAACGTCTTGAAATACATCATCTGAACAATGTTTCGAGGTGTGGTAACTGTAGTATAACCGGAATAATTGACTTCAGACCGTTGAATTATTAGAAAAATAATGCACACCCGAGGTGTAACGGCCACTCCGCTTCGCGTCGTGACCGCATTACCACCTCGGGTGTGCATCATTTTTCTAATAATTCAATGGCCTGTCGTCAATTATTCCTTACATAATGGATTACACATTTAGTGCTGCTTACTAAATGCACTACAATTTTGTAACCTGTAAAAACACATTTGTAACTTATTATAGTTATCTTAAGTCATGTTAGAGATTGTTTCATTATAATATTGATTAATGTATTTTTTTCCTTTCAGACTACAGCTTGCTGCGATGCATTATAATGAAAATGCAGGCAGATAAAAGGCATCCACTGCAGCTGGTGATCTGCAATACTCAATCGTTTCCCCAAAATTCAAGCATGGAAACTTCACAGTGAGAGCTCTGAAGAGCAATCCTACCACAGCTAACTTATACTTGTCTGAGTTATCTCAGAAAAAAATATAATATATATTATAATAATTCTCTTTCTGAAGGCTACATTGACAAATTAAAGGTTGTATCAGTGATTTCAGGCCCAAAAATAAATGTCTAATCTTTCCTAACGATCCGCTAGCTGCCCGCCCCATAAGCATGCCGTCCAAAAACCGCGTCTCTGTAGGCAGCCTAGGCTCTGAGATCTGCACACAAAAACAAATGTGTACAACCACCACTCAAAACCAAAATAAAGTGTTCCAACCAATCACTGACAGGGGCGGGTGTTGTGAGGTTTTGCGCTCGTGCACGGCTGGACGCGAAATCGGAGCAACACCCGCCCCTGTCAGTGATTGGTTGGAACACTGTTTATTTTGGTTTTGAGTGGTGGTTCTACCCATTTGTTTTTGTGTGCAGATCTCAGAGCCTACGCTGCCTACAGAGACGCGGTTTTTGGACGGCATGCTTATGGGGCGGGCAGCTAGCGGATCGTTAGGAAAGATTAGACATTTATTTTTGGGCCAGAAATCACTGATACAACCTTTAATGGAGCTGCTGTTCCACCATGTGGTGGAAGACCCTCAGCCATACCTGGACTGGCTGTACAAATGGCTGTACCAGAAAAACTGTGTGCTCAGTTTATTCGGCCCGACAAGGAGGAGGCAGTGAGCAGACACAGGTCAAGGTTCTTTAAATGGGTAATATAATGCTACATGCACTTTTACAAGTTGATTGTACTGAAATGTGTGTTGGCAGTGCCTGTACACAACCATCATAAAATGATAAAAATCTATGCAGTGTTTTTGTTTTAATCTCCTTATATGTTTTCCCCTGCCTCAAATTGAGCCGTTCGACCGTGTGACGTCACACGCTCGGAAGCCCCTCCCACGATTGTTGATTGACAGCTGCGTTTCAACACAGACCCTCCCTCGCTCATGAGCGAGCTGTCAATCATAGTCTGCGCGGACCGGCGCGGTCATTGTTGATATGCTGGAGCACTGTCTATGAGCAGAATGGCGTCTAAGCGATTGTGGTGTTCTGTTCTTGGGTGCAATAAGGAACACAGCAGTCATTTTAATGTTCCTAAATCCGAACCGCTGAAGACACTGTGGCTGAGTTTTGTTTTCCCACGAGGAACGTCAATGCGTTCATGTTTGCTCTGGTTTGCGCGAATCATTTCTCACCAGACTGCTTTATAAACGAGGGTCAGTAATAAGCTGGTTTAGCTAAGAAGCTGATCCTGAATAAAGGATCGGTACAAACTATTCGTGTTCCTGCTGAACCTCCAGAAGAACTGAAGTGAGTGTAACGTTTTATTACCGTATTGTCCGCACTATAAGGCGCACTTAAAAGCCTTTAATTTTCTCAAAAAACGACAGTGCGCCTTATAATCCGGAGCGCCTTATATATGGATAGTGAACACACGTTCACCAAGACGGGGAGACAGCGCCGGGCGACTAACGCCACTATCTGGCAATGGATCGTGGATGCCTGGGGCCCTGGGCTGATATATCAGTCTCAACTGTGATCCGAGCTTTCACGAAAGCAGGAATAATCTCTTTATTCAGCCAGCTCACATACCCGTATTTACTTCCTGTTTTCGGTCGAAGTCCACAGTAGTCGATTGTCGAGTTCGTGCGAGCGTGATCAAACCTCCTCCGTGTGTTCAACATCTGATTCGGATGAACTATCCATTTGGGCTGATATTCTCAGAACACCACACAGCACCGTCATCAGCTGACAGTCTGACTCTCCACTGTTGCTTCGTTACCAATGATCGCGCGCGCGCACTCGACAATCGCCTACTGTCTACTTCGACCGAAAACAGGAAGAAAATACGGGTATGTGAGCTGGCTGAATAAACATAATTTTTAGTCATATCTTTCACATTTACTGCAGTCAGATTCACCGTGTTCACTCACATGGCTCGGCTGTGCACTTGTAATGACACATTAAGGTTGTTAAGAGGCTAAAAGCAGGTTTAAAACTTTTCCCGTTTAAGTCAACAGGGTGCAAATTTTAAAAAGAGGATAACACGGTGTAGGCAACACCGGTTTTTGTCGTTGTTATCTGTACTGACAGCACTCCAAATTGACAAAAAATGAGCTCAATGTTAAAATTGACCGGAGTTTTCCTTTAACGTTTGAACAACGTTACCATGGGAGTGAACGGAGTTGTCAGTAAGCTTAATAAAGTTTGACTTTATCTGACTGTTTTGTTGACATTTGTTGACATCTAGTGGATACATAACGCAAACCCAGTCAAACGTTTGACTGCAGTATCTTATGCGCCTTATAATCCGGTGCGCCCTATATATGAAAAATGTTCTAAAATAGGTCATTCATTGAAGGTGCGCCTTATAATCCGGTGCGCCGTATAGTGCGGAAAATACGGTAACCTTTATATTAATATTTATATTAATCTTTGCAAATCGCTTGCACGGTTCACGATGAATGCGTCTAAGGTTTACACTCAGGGTACATTACGGCATGTTTTCTATGTACGACGTTCTCAATATAATTCATAATCCCACGTTTATAATGAATAACGCGTTATGGTTATTGTGTTATTGTGTTACAAACGTGTACACACAGAACAGAGAGGCGGGGTGAGCAAAGCTCATGATCATTTAAAGTCATATGCACTGAAACGGCGTGCTGAAAACAGAGCTGTTTTTGACCAGGTAAAATAAATACTAATGAGAACTTTTAATTAAAGTATATTATAAACTTTTAATTTAGATCCTAAAGAATCATATTAGCTTGTACAAAAATGGCATTATATGACCCCTTTAAAAACACATTAGGTTATACCAGCGTTTCTCAAAGTGTGGGGCGCGCCCCACTGGTGGGGAATAGAAACATGACAAGTGGGGCGCACAAACGGGAGAAAATGTGGTAATTTTTGTGCCCATCACTATTAATTCCTTTATTTATTAAGCATAAACTCAAAACAAAACAACGACACATTTAAATGTAAGCATTACTTAACCTTTTCACACGTAAGTTTAAAAGTTTTTAGAGGCGCCCGTTATTTAGATCGTATCCCTTTATGGGTTCCATGGTGACGCGTCATTGCTTGTCACACCGCAGCCACAATAGCGCTGAATGACTGATTATCTGCTTTTATTTCACAAATTTGTTGGCTATAGCAGGAAATATCTGATATTCCGATTGTCAAATATGAGCAAGTGGATGTGTTTAGTTGTTTAAACACCTTAGTTGAGATATACGCGATCTCTATGTACGCGATGAAGAATCGGATCTGTTGGATTTAACAAACGTCAATTTATCCACTTCTCCCGAAATACATGAAAGTAAGTGGCCGGTGAACTGGGAGAAGCATAGAGTAAACTTGAAAGTTACTTACACGATGTGTATTTGATATGAATAATACGTGTCGTCTAATTATAATGGAAATAATTATTATTGCCGCTTCCATAGACATAAGTGTGTATTTGACAAACTCTAAATGTATTGCTTTTTTAGTAACTTACTTATGTGAATTTAAATGTCTGAAACCTAAAATAAACATTATGTGGTTGAAAGTACTGAATAGTTGTGATGTCAAGCGGTGAGCGCTCTCCGTCTCTGGCTCAGAAAATATGTGTAGCCTACTACAAAACAGGCTCATTGCAGACACTAAATTAGTTAATCACTTAATTTTGAACTTTCAAAATGCACCAGATTTATGAATTTATCTTTAAAACGTACAAACTTTTCTTCCAGGGGAGCATGCCCCCAGACCCCCCTAGGGGTGCAGAGGTCCACGCCACGCACAAAATACTGTGGGAAACACAGTAACTTATATGATAGTCTTCTAAAAATACAAAATACAATTATTATAATAAAAATACCTAAAATACGTACATTATTAGGATTTTACCACCTCCGCCTCGTTTTGAGCCAGGAAAAACCCTAACATTTTGTTGGGGCGATTGCATGGGGACAGGTGGGGCACGAACCCTTCCCTATCTTCAAAGTGGGGAATGGCAGAAAAAGTTTGAGAAACACTGGGTTATACCCACTCTGCCAGCTTGGACACACCTGTCTGTCATCTACAACATTCAAGAAAAGGGTTTGCACTCTGGAGATTTTACTTTGTTATAGAAGTTACCAGTGTGATTACTGAAATGTTCTTTTCATGTATTCTTTAATGTCGGTGTGTGTGTTAGTCTGGTTACAGGTAGGGCTGGAGTCTGGTTACACTGCAAACTGTGCTGAAGACACGTGCCATCAAAGTCAGGACACACAAACCTGTTTCAAGACTTGAAACAATATCCCCCATTAGCACACGCAGAAACTAAGAAATATTTTTTTTTTAAGGAAAAATGACAAATGTATTAATGTTCTACCTGAGATTTGTGAAATGTTCTGACAATAAAGAGTAGTTTAAATATCTGACTGCTGATGAAACTGCAAACTATCTTCAGTAAAACTTTTCTTTAATTAATTATAATTCTGACTCTGGGTCTTCATTCTTCATATCAGGTTCTGGGTCTTTGACTGTATACAGTACATATTCATTTTGAGTTTTGTAGCTGATTTTAAAAAAAATTGTGTAGTGTGTAACTCCAGTTAAAAATGCTTCTTTATAAATCATTTTTATTTTATTTTTATATTATAAAAAACATTTTCAAAAAATATTTTTATTTTTAAAGCTGCCGTCGGCAACATTTTTTTGATCATATTCAGTGAAATCGACACTATAATCCGACAGAACAACATAAATAAAGTGGTTTTAGAAAAAAAACAGAGCTTCTAACTCCACATGGAGTGTGTTATTTGTTTTGCAAAAATCCACAGCTCCCGGATCATCGGGTCCAATCAGCGCAGGAGGGTGTGAGATCTGACTGTCAATCACAGATCGGGCACACGCCACCCCTCGCACACGTTACAATCACATGCACACGCCGGAAGTTCGCAGAAGTTCGTGCAGTAACGAAGAGTGATGGCGGAAAATCAAGAACCGGTAAACTTATTTAGA